CTTTGCATTTGCCTCCTGTGCAGCTCGCAGCCCTGCGAGTAGCATCCCTCTTGCGAGGTGGTTTGCCTCAGAGCCCTCGGAATCTTCCTCGTCCGAATCAGAGTCCTCTGAATATTCCGCAATAATTTGATACGAAGGAACTGCCTTTATGGAGCCAAGTGCGGCGACAGTTGTGGAACGAGTGGATTTACCATGGGTTGATTCACGAGGTTGCTGTCGAAACGAGGGTGAATTCAGTCGTGGACGGCATCGTACTACAACTGCACATACACACCTTGCCAGAGGCTTTCGATCGAGATTTTGATTCACCAGCTTTTGCAGTCGCACCAGCTTTGCCAGCTCCCTTGACCGCCCGCTTGGTCTGAGACACACTTGTTTTACCCGACCCGGTACTCTTCTGGTGTCCTTTTCCGACCAAAGAAGAGCCGACATTTGACAGAGGTAAGATGACCTCCACGATGTCACCTTTGGGGAAAAAGCGAGTCTGTGAACCGCTAGGTGTCGCTTTACTTGTGGCGGGCTTTTGTACACTGCTAGAAGCGACGGTGCCGGCTGGGGCCGACGCCCGGTGAGCACCACGAGCTGACTGAGATTGCTGAGGTGGCAATGTGGGCGCGAGCGCCGGAACTGATTGCTGTTGAAGTTGTATCTGTGGATGGGTTTGCTGAAGGGCGCCAGCAATGGCAGCATGCGACCAGCTCTTGTGAGCACCTAAAGCAGAGGCTTGTGACGTGAGAATAGTTTGCGGCATGGCAGACTGAGGCTGAGGCTGGTGATATCCTCCCTGTATTCCAATATGCAATAGTAAAAGTAGCTCAGGTCAATCGAGTGTGAAACAACGCTCTGCTGTACAGTGCACAAATTGACTCCGACCGAGGAACATACCAACGGAGTTTGAAAATGACCAAACGCGGGAGACGTCGTGCTTGGCGACTCACTCATCGAGAACCCTGACGGAGAAGGACTTTGAAGAGGTACCGATGTTGGTGGAAAGAACGAAGTGGCCTGAAGCTGTACAAGGGACGCCCCAGCTGACCCATGAGGGCGATGAGTAGACATAACTATCGTTCCATGGTGGGATTGTTGGTGGAAATTAGGCCCAGTACCAGAGGAAGGGTAATGAACATGAGGACCACCACCGTGCAATGACAGAAGATTCAGAGCTGCGTCACCGTGACTGTCGGAGCCGCTGTAAGACGTTACTACGTGGTGTCCTTGACGACTTTGAGAACCAGCTTGTTGCTGAGGCACGGGAGAGTGTCGGGAATACCCACTAGAACGCTGTGATCTTCCCTGCAGTGCCAGAACGCCTGCTTGGAGCTGGCTGATGACCTGAGACTGGGTTTGCGACTGTACTGTATTGTGATGTGCGAGATTTTGGGACACCATTGGGGCACTTGACCCCTGCTGCGTAACCTGAGGGATTGTGGAATGCAAGGACAGCACTGTGGTGTGCTGTGGGTGCCCTGGCCCGGACGGATACGGGAGCAGCCCTCCTTGAGAAGGCACAGATAGTGTCGTCATTGCATTCGGTCCCATGCCCATTTGTGTGTGCCCTCCACTTGAAAAGTCGGCAACACTCATGAGTGAATGGGTTCCAGTTTCACCGGCAGCGCCCGTTCCCGACACAGTACTGGAGACAGAAAGACCACCCTGCGTTACACTCTGATGAAAAGTGGAGTAGCCGCCTTGTTGCTGTAAGTTTGATCCCATTCCAAAAGTCTGCCCGATCGTGTTTTGGGCATTCATGTTCGGCCACGGCTGGAACTGCCGGTTGGAAGCGGACGCGGTAGAGGATGCAGGAGATGATGGTAGAGAAACGCTGTAGGTGTAAGGCATGTTGAAGCCATGCTGGTGTACCCCAGTTGGGTACGATCCTGGAAACAATCCAATTTGGGTAAACGGGGATCAACGCATCAGTGTTCGCGGAGCATCCAATCTGCATGATACGATAAATGGGAAAGAGTGGGGTCTCAAAGGACGATGCGGAGCCACGAAAACGATTCGTTGGCACGACATTTCACCAAACCTTTTCCACCTCTGAGCGCAATCCGCATCCGACTAGCATCCCACCCGCGGGAAACTTTTCAATTAACGTAGCTGTTTCCCACGAAATCCGCGTCTTCATCTTGAGATCCGGGCTCACCTTGTGCCGCTCCGTATACGGCTGTTCCAGTGATTGTTCCTGACGCTGTGGACGGAATCGACGTCAAGGAAATTCCCGAGGCATCACTTATTCCTGCAGCTGGCGGACCATTGGTATCGCTGCCGGTTTGCCAATGGGACATCTGGCGGGGTGTGGGGGCAGGGGGTGAACACCGTGGGATGTGAGAAGTTCTTCACGATAAACGGCTCTGATATTATTGGAGCGAGGTCTTCGAAGAATTTATACACAAGCATACAGGTTTTCCTTCAAGAGTTCAGTTGGAACATATTATACATCCTTGCTCGTGACGAGGTGGAAAAGGTACCTCGCTTGTTCTCGTCTGAGTTTACCGTAAGTTCTAGGCACTGAATGACACTTGTCTTGCGATCATCCACGTTCAGTGAGAGTATACAAAACAGATCGGTGAAAGACGATGGTGAGTGAGAGGAAGACCTGACCTTTCCTGACGAACTAAGTAAATTACCTGACTCGCCACCTCATTCTTGATTTAAGTCCAAGAGCAAGTTAACTCGGGATGATCTGCGTCTGTGTTGCACGTACGCCTAAAGAAATGCCAGACCATGAATGGAAGAGGGAGCGACAAGGAAAAGAAATCGTTCTTACGAACTCCCGCTTTGTCCTTACTGTACTGCGTGAGCAGTTAAGCCATCGCGCTCACATCCATACATACTGTTCTAGTTTCTACCAGTCTACCTCCTGGGAGAGGGAATGAAGTGTGATCGTGTACACTATGTCCACTACATTCTAACATCTCAAACAACCCATCTGACATAGAGGACACGGATGCGATACAGATATCACACTTCCAGTAATAGCAAAATATGACAATCAGTGCCATGCTGGTGCTCGCTCTCTATATACGTTGTTTACACTATGGTGCGTACAGGAAATGCCAGAGCAAAAATCGCCCGCGATACATTATTAGTCTCGGCACGAAACAATGCGGATTGTTGCTGGTACTGGTGCAATTTGTGTGCTGGAATTGAGCATCCCCCCACCGGCCACTGTTCGTGGGCACCACCTGCGGAGGGTTGTAGCGGAACGTGACCAATGACCACACGGCCATAAGTATATTTGGGAGGTTCCATGATTCCGGGATTTAGGGTATATTGCATGTGCTCTCATGTCTTTGCCATAGTCCGCCTTGTTGTGTTACGTGATGTCCTATACTAGACTGGACTGGTAGATGTAGGACGGATGTCTGATGTACGTCTGATCGTACAGTATACGTATATGACTACCTACAGATATCTCCGGACTGTGGTCACCCAAGGTGCCCAGTATACTGCACTCCTCCTTCCTCTGTCAAGTGACGCCCTCGTCACTAAACATAGTCGAACACGAAATGAATGTAACGTAATTGTACTGTACAGAAGTGCACAGAAACACTCCCCAAACTGTAAACGTAATCGTCACAAAATCACAACACACCAACATTCGACAGTCACTCACTCATCGTCGATGGCCATGGCTCCTTGAGCCACTTTCTCCCCCTTCCTCTTTAGGAGGGAACCACAAATCCCTTTCTTCAACTCAGAGCCATTAGGTTTTATACCATCATTACCATGTGGCCGTTTTGGTGGCGGATCATCAGTACCAACATGCCCCAAGTACACCGAACGACGTATTTCCAAATGTGCATTCATCGTCCGCTTACGTTGCCCCTCAGTAAGAGCACGTCCATTTGGAGCAGTTGGCTGACGGCTTTCATAATCATCCAACATAGCCTCTGCCAAAACGTTCTCCTCCTCAATCCACTCAGGAACTGAATAGCCATTAAACTTCACATAGTATTCCACCAACGGGCCATTCTGTCAACAATCAGGAAGTGCGTCAACTTCATAAACGGGCATACCCAAGGCATCAACAGCTCTCAGAGTAGGTGCAGGTTCCACCAGCTCGACAACAGGAGGTTCGGACAACACAGAATCGTTCGGGATATGCGTAGTATCAGGAATAGCTAATGCGGAAGAAAACATGCCAATGCAGGGCAGAATTTTCTGAAGACGTGTAATGTGCGCCAACGTAGTTTGACCTGTTTAAATATGTTTCGCACAATACGTGACTGGAACAACTTTCTCAGTAATTACAGAACAGACCAATCCATTTTGAAATGAACTTGAAGCTTTTGCCTGGACAGTGGCGTTCTGAATAGTAGACCATCACCATGCTTTCAAGTTGGAAGTTGGAATTTGACATCGCATCGTATGCCATTTTACAAGCGTTTGCTGCAGCATCAATTCTTTCACGGAGTGTGGAGTATGCTTCAGACAAGGACGCCACAATGGGAAAGGGCTTTCCCTCCTGATCCACCAGAAGCATGCACACTGCACCAGTAGACATCCCTGTAATAACATTAACCGGCATTTTAGCATCGCGACCAGTCGCAAAATAAAACGGTGAATCATTCAACGTAGAATGATACCACGTGTTAAACGCAAACATAATGGCCGGTAATGTGTCGTTCCAATTGGTACCCTTCAAATTCATGTACTGCATGAGCCCATCAACCAAAGATTTCATTACACGTTCAGCATACCGGTTCCCTTGTGGGTGGAACAGAGACACGTGTGTTTGATCAAAATCAGGGTAAAGCGCCAGCTCCTTAAACAACACATTGTGAAAAGCTGGACCCCGATCAGAGAGGAAACGCCGAAACATCAAGTGACGGCAGATCCAATGATGCCACATTGTTTTTGCCATAGTAATTGCCAATACATTGGGAACAGGAATTGCTTCCGTCCAACCTGTAAGTAAACCAGTGTGAGAATCTAAAGATCTAGAATAAAAAATAAAAATGTTTATAAATGCAAGATCCATAAAAACGGGTGTCGGGGTTGTAGCTCAGATGGCAGAGCGCGTGCTTAGCATGCACGAGGTACGGGGTTCGATCCCCCGCAGCTCCAAGGCCGCGTTTTGTTTTATCTATCTTTCACGGAGAAGGCGGCGGGAGCCCCGTGCCACCGCTTCTCTGCGCGTTTACGCTGCCCGGCGTTGGAAGGATATGGATGTTTTCGTTTGGATTTGTTTTGTTTTGTTTGTTTGGTTGACTATGTATATCCACCATGCCGTGGTACACATTGAACGCCGGGCCGGTACCGGTATCACCGTTCAAAATCTGCCGTGCAACGTCTGTCGCGTACCACACGCGCTCCACACCGGTTACCGGCACTTGATATCCAACGTGCCACCCCCCCACCGCCCAGGCACCAGGCACGCACCCCTGCCGACACACGCGACCCCCGCCCGCGCACGCACGAGATCATCCGAACAGCTCGGGGAACTTTGTTGAGAGGACGACCATTTTGTCGTAGTTTTCGAGGTCTGGAGGGTGCATGGGTCGGGGTCGGTGTCGGGTCGGGGTCGGGGTCGGGGTTCGGTCGGGGCGTGGAAATGGGGACACGTCACACGGGCGGGGGGGAGGAGGAGGGGAGGGGGGGGTTGGGATTGGGTGGGAAGTGGGGTAAGGTGAGGTCAGAGGTCAGAGGATCGATTTGACCGGTGTGTGTGAAGGTCCCCCTGCGTCGCGTCTCGTGTCATGCCGGCGTTTGAGGCATCGCGGCGGCGGCAATCGTGGTGGGGCAGCCGGGGGTGAGAGGATGTGGTGCGAGGGACAGATGACCCAGAACAGCGAACACGGCCGGACGCAGATCGAGCGCGCACCCTCCACCTC